CGAAAACAAAACGTGAAGAAGCGCCAAGTTTGTGAATTAAAAACACATGTTCAACTTGGCCCAACTATTACAAACTCCAAAAACATTCAGTGAGGTGCCCGGAGATGCCTTTTCATTATTTATGCATCGAACCCAGCCAAATTATTCCCAAACACATTAATTATGTTGGAGGTATTATCTAAAAAATATAAACTTACGGAAGATTTTGAATTATTCATGTCACCCGAGCAGTGCTGAAAATGCACTTAATTTCCAAAAGTGTGAGAAGCGCTTGGTGAAATCTGTGGCACCCAGACCGAACTAATCCGGATGGGTTGGAAGCGTGTTATTAAATACTTTCTTAATATACCGTTTAAGGGTAAGGCACATTCACAGAATAACGGAGGAGTAGAAATAGGGAGAGAGGGGTAGGGGGTAGAGGGAGAGAGAATGAGAGGGAAGAGGAGCAGATAGAGAGAAGGAGGGGGCATTGAGAAAAAAGTGAGCGAGGGAGGAGGAGACAGAGAGAGATGACAGAGGGAGAGAGAAGGAGAGGGAGGTGAGAGAAATAGAGAGCACGACAGAGAAAGAGAGACAAAGTGAGATAGCATGAATGAAAGACAGAGAGAGAAGGAGAGGGTGCATAGAGAAAAAAGTGAGGGAGTAGAAGAGATAAAGAAAGAAATGAGAGGAGCAGACGAAAAGAGAGAAAGCGATAGAGAGAGAGGGCATTCCGAGAAAAGTAAGCAAGGGTGTAGGAGAGAGGGGAAGGTAGAGAATGAATGAAAGAGAGGGGTGAGATAAAAAGTAAAGAGAAGGATAGAGAAGGGGGCAGAGAGTGATTGAAAGGTGAAAGAGAGGAAGGCAAATACGAGTATATGAGAGAGGGAGGGAGAGAAAAAGAGAGCTGGCATAATGTATTTAAGTCCGTGTAATGCAGGATACAGAGGAACTGAGGAGTTGGCAAAAAAAATTAAAATTGGCTGATTAGAAAATTATACACACACGCCAATATCAAGTCCAATTTACTTAACGCATTTATTTTGGATTATTACTTTGTGTCCAATTCTAAAACCATTATTTAACAGTAAATATTGTGTGGTTTCCCATAGCAACAATCTGAAGCAGGCACCGGCAGAAGGAGCTCAACACAGCTTCATATTTGACATGGCTGACAAGAGTCTAAATAGCTCTGGTGCAATCTCATTTGAGTGTACAGTGAAGAGAGATCAAGATATCAACAAGTCCTCTCTGACCAGACAGACTGAACCGCCACCGCCCTCCTATCACTCCATGTCACTCCATCTCCTCTGTCCACATGATCTCTACAGATATAGTAGTTATGCGTACGCATTCTTTATCCTATACACTGTCATCATGAAGAGAACAATGTCTGCTCGTGCTTTTTTCACTATTCAATGCCATAGCTGTTATTGTTCTGCAAGAAAAATGAGTGGAATGAGCAGGGACATAATAATAATAATACGCTAAAGGAATTGGATACACTTGGGGATTCATCAGAGGTTCCAAGTTTTTCTTTTAATATATATATTTTTTCCGGGAGGATCATAACTTGAAAAATAAATAAACATGGGTAACTTTGAGAGCTACATGACGGTGATACAGCTCCTTTTATATTTATTTAAGCCAATACAGTGAATCCTGTACAGTAGTTGAGTGCATTCATGCCTTCTATTATTGCTGTTATCTTTCAAGGTTTTCTGAAAAGTACAAAAATGAACAGTTTATGTCACTATTATGATTGAGACAAACTTTCTGATTTGGTTGAGGACAGGGCCAATGACACCTATAGATACAGCAGAGTCTGGAGAGTAGAATGACTTGAGCGGTTATGCTGTGCTATGGCAAAATGTTTTACTGCAGACGCTTCTTTACTTTATACTTCACCGTATCTTTATCCAGGCTTGAAAGTATTATGTCAAGTCTTTCTCAAGTTCTGTAGAATTCAGACGGATACAATCAACATTCTTTACTTTGCCTAAATGCCTTTACAACAACATTGCTTATGTTGTACTGTAAGGCCAAAGCAAATTCCTAGTAAAACTTATGATTCTGATTTCACATTTTGTAGTGGTTCATTTCATACTTTGTCTGGTTGTTTCAGTCATTCTATAAAATACCTGACTATCAACCTTTAATGTATATATGCTTTGTGATTGGTTGTGATCAGGGCAGTGCAATAATTATCATTTTAACAGACGTTCAACCTGTCTACTTGACTCCAAGATCAGCTTGGTTCTTGGGTCTTGAAATTGTTTTAATTTTGTTTCTGATAAGGCAAAATAAAATTGAATCAAAAGTAATTGATCAATACGAAGGAAAAGAAGTGTTTTGTTATACAGCCCTATTGCTATGATGGTAGTAAAAAGTTGCAAGAAAAGTTCTATAGAATTTGGACAAACACAACAGCAAGAATAAAGACTGACATAAAACTGATCCGAGTGTCAAATCAGAATCAGATGTTTTCCCAGGAATTTGCTTTGGCCCAACGGTGCAACATAGAAAGTGGATAATAATAATAATAGCTTGAACATCATATAAATAGCAGTGGAGGAAGAAGTACTCAGTTGCACTCAGTTACTCAAAGGTGCAGATACCAGAGCAAAAAAAAAAAAAAAAAAAATCACATGAAAAAATGAACTTAAAGAGTAAAAAGTACAAGTATCTCACACAGATTTTGAGATCTAATAAAGCTCCATATGTATTGATTTTTTCCCCCTTGCTTTTTTATTGATAATATTTTTGTTTACTCAGTCAAAGAACATGTTAAATAAACTTTTCAGCATGTCTTACAAAATAATAAAAAGTATTTTACTTTTGAGTCCTTAAAAATTAAATGGAGTAGAAAATACAGATACTGGCTCTTAAATGTAATAAAGTAACAGCAAAAAGTGTCCACTGTAAAATTTACTTAAAGGTGCAATGTGTAACTTTTCTGGTGGAGGGTCTGCCACATATTTGTCTCATAAAGATGCCACAGCTTTGCCCCGTAATGTTCCAACAACTGCATCCATTCATTTGCTTTTCTACACATATTTAAAGCTGTAGTGAGGTCAATTTCGGAGACAGGCCCCGTGCTGTGGTCTGTCAGATAGAGAATATAAAAGTGGCATTTCACATAAAGGACTGTGAGTGTGGCTGCTGTGGGTGCATATATAAAGTCTAATCTTACACTGATTTTTGAAAAGGTTATGTCAAAGTGTGTCACCCACTGAGATGTGCACACTTCGGGAGCTTTCTGTTCTTGTTCTGGATGGGCTCACGTTTGATCTGTAGTGTTGAGATGAATTAGAAAGATGCTACTAAGAGATGTAGAGAAACTGATTCATTCCTTGACCTTTTTACAATAGTGGAGATGTCAAAAAGTTATATTCTATTTCGAAATATAAATTAAAAAAAGAAACAACAAGAACAGGGCAACATTTGACCTTTCTTGAATAGTTTTAGAATAGTCTTGATCTATAACTACTAATACTACTATCACATGAAAATAAAGTAACATAATTATAATATTTATGTATTGAAAATGTAATTATATTGCAGGAACAAAAATATAGGCTTTTCAGCATTGAGTATTTACCTTTACCGAAAATCGAATTAGAAATTTTTGTATTATGACACAAAACCAAAATGAAACCTCCAGTTCAAAGACTGTTAAACCAACCACCACCATTCAGCCTTAAAATTTACAACGTGCAAAAACTGCTAAAATATTTTAACATCATACAAAGAAGATAACGGCCACACCAAATCGGATCTCAGTGGGTGGCCACTGGAAAACCTGAAAGCTAAAAACCAAGATTAAAGTTGTACTATGCCACTTTTTTGGGTGAAAGGTACACCACATCTCAGAATGGAGATTTGTCAGGATTGTTCCACAGTATGGCATTCAACTGATATCCATGGACACAAGCAGGTGATGCTGTTGAAATATGCAGTCATTTGTCACTTTTGATAATAAACAAAACACACAACATAACCAAGATTGGTAAATTTAATACCAAACCTGGGTACATTCAGGTAAAGCAAAACAATTTCCAAGATAAGCAGGTTGTAGACCCCCTACCCAAAAACTTACACAGTGCCCCTTTAAGTTTTGCACATTGTAAAACTGTTTCCATGGAGGTTAGCACAGGGGAAATATTACTGAAGACATCTCAAACTGATTTAGAAGCCAATTAACAGCCTTCACAGCCATCCAAAGTGCAAACTCCAACTTTATATCAAACATATGTTGACATCCTGTGGATCGTTAAGAGTTTAAATCAGAAGGCTTCTCTGTACAGACTGTAACCCACACACTTTTTTCATAGCTATAAATGTCCTAATAAAATAAGATGGATTCACAAGCACATTCCTGGTGTAAATATAGTGTGAATGTGGAGTAAGTAAGTCATCTCTGGCTTTGTAGTTGACAATTTTAATTGTGCAAAACATGATGATACTGAAAAATGAGCCCACCTTGTTGAAGATGCATTTTTGATGTGATCCTGTGGTATTCTATTATCACATACAATATTAACATTAATAATAATACTTACCTTGCATTTACAGAACAGGCAAGGTGGGTGATGTCTTGCCCAATGACACAAAGTAAATGTGCACTGCCATTGTGGGGATTGAACCACCAGCCATTTGCATCAGTTTTGGGAACACGCCATTCAATAATCACATACCACATATGTACCACATTTTGCTAACATTTGCCCACTACATTAAAACCTCATTAGCTTGTACATGCTTTGCCTTTATTGCTTTTGTCCACTTTCTATTTCTGGTTATTGTATTGTGGTTTGGGCACGTTGGGTCTCACTTCATTCAAACCACAACAGGCTTAAGAAAAAATCAAGAGAGACTTTTGTTTTTAGAGGCCAGAGTTGTGCCCAGAGGAACAGAGGCTGTCCAAATTGATCATTACTCTGAGCACTGTAGCAGCCTTTATGTAGGGCTGTGAAGTAATAAAAGGTAATAGGATTTTAACCAAGTGGAGATAGATTTACCTTGTGGCTGGGCGTTTAGCAGAGCAGGGTCGAGAGCAGGCATCGTTCTGGGTGTAGGCACTGGTTTTGGAGGCTCTGTTAAATGAAATAGATGAGTATTGCAACTGCTTTTCTGTTAGTTTGATTCATGTACTGAAGATAGCAATCAGTACTCAAACTGACAGCTCATTATGAGAGAAGGTCTTATTTATAATTAACTTATGGATAATTACAACAGACGGTTTCCAGATTGAAATAGTTGGTTTAAAAGAATATATAATGCATCCCCTTGTCCCCATGAAGATGTTATTGTGTTGCATTCTGTTCCATAGTATAGCATTAAACTTATCCATCTCCATGGAGACAAGCAGATGATGTCAGAAGGCCTAGCCACAAATCAGAGCCATGGAAAGGCAACCCCACTCATAGTAATAATGCATGTTTTCAAAGTATTTCTGAGCAATAATTGTTGCAGAATAAATGCAAGATATAGATATGTGTAATGCCATACTGTGTAACATTCCAGACAAAGCAAAATATCTCCATGGAGACAGACAGACAGCATCAAAAAAAAGTTAGAGAGTGCCCCTTTAAGGATGTAGAAAGACCACAAAGTTAGGTGTTAAAAAGAGGAAGCTGAGGATGGAAAGTTTTTTTTTTTTTTTTTTTTAATAGTATTTGGACTTGTTTTGGGCTGCGTAAGTTACAGCCAGATGTTTTGTTTCCACTCATCACTTTTTATTCCTTCATAATGATGATGATGATGAGTTTTTGGCCCCTGCCCCAAGCTGCTTTATGGCTCATTTATGTTCTGCGTTCTAGATGCGTACAGCTACGCATAGGCTTCTGTCCGACCTCTGTGTTGGTCTGTTCGTAATCTGGTCAGTCTCCTCAGCGCCCTCTGGTGATTATTTAACAGAACACAGCCTTGACATAAGAAACATTTGGAAGTATACATGCAGAGACAGTTACTATGCTTAAAACGCACAGATGTTTATGTACAAAAGTGAAGCACCTTTAAAGGTGTACTGTGTAACTTTTAGGCTGGACGTCCATCACCTGCTTGTTTCTATGGATATGTCATTGCTCTGCTTGAAATGTTCCACAGTATGACACTGAACAGTTCAACCTTACGCTTATTCAATTACAAGTGGTTTTATAACTCAGAAATACTTAGAAACATGGTCTGGTTTGGTCTCCATGATGACAAAAGGGTTTAATATCCTACTGTGAAACATATCAGACAAAGAAATAACATCTCCAAGAAGAAAAGCAGGATTCACCATCAAAAAAGTTACACAATGCACCTTTAAGCATTGGTAGCTGCCAGCCTCTCCTCAGTTGCTGTTGGAAACTCAAATGTATATCACAATAAAACCAACCCAAATGTCTTTTATGTATTCTTGTCCATGTATCTATTGGCTGCATATTTTATGGCCTTTAACCTAATTTAACCCCAATGCAGACTTGACTTAGCCAGACTCCTCCTCCTCACTATTGCCTGTAGCTTAATATAAACATCTTCCATACGTTTAAAGAATCTGGTATGACACCATAAGAACAGACACAGTCTTTGGAGCTCTGTCTGAAGTCACCGCGCTAAACCTCTGGAGAACTTTCTAAACATTTGTTGGAGGTTTTACAGTCAGACCGCCACACACAGTGCACTGTTAGTTTTAGAGCATCAGACAATCCTATGGGGACAGCCTAGTGCCAGAGATGGAGAGAGAGCGTCACGTATTAGAGAGTTATCAGGGGAAATTAAGGATGGGATTACGACAGGGAGATAAAGGGACAGAGCGGTTAATAGAAAGATATAATGACTATTTAGATGTGTATTATTGTCCTTGTGTTATAGCCAACAAAAGCAGAGATAAGAGAAGTTGTGTTGGTGTCTGACCTGGTGCTGAAATGAATGTAGTAGAATGAAAGTAGTAATTGGATTCAGTGACACTTTTAGTAATAGTTCTTTTTTAAGGCTGTTTGAGGTGCACACTAAACCCCATGGTGATTTATTTCTTTGCTTAGAATGTTCCACAGTTTGGCATTCAGTGTATCCGCCAACAGGAAAAGTTACAGGTCAAATCTGTGGAGAAACAACCCCTGCTCTCAGTAAGAATTCATGTTTTTTAGTTTTTTTTAGCAATATAAATATCTGTTATTTACCAAATGAAAGTTGGAAAGTTTAGTGCCAAACTGTTTAACATTCCTAGCAAAGCAATAACATAGAGACTAGCAAGTGGCAGAACCTCCAACCAAAAAGTTACATAAACCACTTTCACGGTTTTCTATTATTATTAATCAAATATGGATGTATATAAAAGCCACAAAGCAGAGGTTGGTACATGATAAACTGTAAATGGTTGTTTTGTTTTGTTAGGAAACCATCTAAAAACTACCCAAAAAGCTAAATGTATTGTCAATTTATGTAACATGCAATAGTTGAAAGAGGATTCAGAGCAAAGTCCTGGTTTAGTCTTTGTAGTACGTGTATAATGTACCTGAGGGTGGGGGCAGCTCAGCAGGAGTGTTGGCAGGTGCGTGTGCTCCTGGTGGGACATGGATGTTGTTGTAGTTGATGCTGGGGGGTCCGGAGGGAGGACCAGAGGGGGGGCCAGAGGGGGGTGGATCTGCACTGAAGCCTATGCCTGGACCAGCGCCCGGGCCTGCTCCAAAGCCCTGGTCCTCGTAGTTCTGTGAAGGAGCTCCGCCTCTGAACGAGCCATACTGCGAGAAGCCTGAGAATCCTGTGGCTCCTTCTTCATCTGATCAGAGAGAAAGAGGACAACATAAGAAATACTACACAGCGGATTTATTGTGAGCTATTCATAAAGCAGTAGGATAGGAAAATCATCCTAGAGTCTTATTTAGTTAGGCATAGCTTTTTTCATTTTCATTTTGTATTTATTTACTCTAACCATCTAATTATAAAGTGCATTATTGTTAGATAATCAGAAAATGCACATTAGCATGGTACTTGTAACTCTGAGAACTGTGAAAAGAGCTTATAAACTCAGTGCAGTCAATAATTAGATTACATGGGATGCATAAGATGAATGAGAAATAAATTTGGACTCTGGCAAACTGTTTAAAATGAACTGCTTTTCAAATCAGGTACAGAGTAATAATACATTTGTTGCTTGATACAATAAACACTGCATCTAACTATAATAATAACGTGCAATATTGTAACATAATGTGAATCATCACTTGTACAGGTCAGTAAACTGTAATAGCAGTGGTGCAAAAGGTGGAAGTTGTTGTTTTGCAAGTCTCAAGTCTTTAGCTTCCAAGTCTCAGTCAACTCCCAAGTCAAAGACAGGCAAGTTCAGTCTCAAGCCTTCATCTATTTTATCAAGTCAAGCCTCAAGTCCTCAAACTAGTGCCTCAAGCCTGACTTGAGTCCAAGTCACGACTTGTAAGTTCCACCTCTTTAATTCAGTCAAGTCAGGTTATCCACTCTTTTTTTTGTCCATCATAGTCACAGTCACTTATTGTTCATAATACTGCTGTAGCCTTGTGTTTTTTGCTCTACTTCCACAGTATTTTCATATCACACAACTTGTTAAACTGCACTGGGACCTCTGATTGAGTCTGTAATTGTATTTTAACAGTTCAGTGTACTTCAGCTCATCCTTGGGGATAAATAAAGTTATCCTGGTTGACGGATTCATTCATCGAGTTTGTCCATTTCTAATTGAAATATGTGCCTCATTTATAACAGACTTTTTGAATAAGCCTGTACAGTTTGGAGCAGTTGAAGCAGGCGTTTTGTTTTGCCATTCTAAAACCCGATCCTTTCACTGGAGACAGGGCAGATTTCAGCACCACACCTCACATAAACACAACACATTCAAACAGAGATTTTCTGTCAGATTAGACCCACTTTTGTCCATTGACAGACTGAATCCAACAGCATGTTACAAAACCAGTGGTAGATGAAGTACTCAATTTTGTTACATAAAGGTGCACTGTGTAACGTTTCTGGTGGAGGGTCCATCAAATGCTTTTCTCTATGGAGATGTTATTGCTTTGTCTTGAATGTTTCACTCTATGGTATTAAACCTTTCTATCATCATGGAGACCAAACCAGACCAAGGTACAGGTCAGATCTGTGGAGAGGTGACCGCACTCCATCAGAATGCCTGTATTTCTAGGCATTTCTAAAAGTAAAATCATCTGTAATAACTTAGATTTTTTTAATGTCATACTGTGGAACATTCCAAGCAGAGCAATGCCATATCCATAGAAACAAGAAGGTGACATATCCCATCCAAAAAGTTACATAGTGCACCTTAAAAGTAAAGTTTAAAAGTTTTTAAACAGTAAAATGTTAAAAGTATTTCAAACTGATTTTGATAAAGTGTTGTTAATTGGTTGAGTGTTGAGTAGTGATATTGATTACAATATAATACACATTTTTTGGTCAACTGCTGCAATATGAATCAATTCTTAAGTTTTATTATGAATTTTTTAATTTATTTTTGTTTGCTGAAAGCTGAAGTTTAAACTCAGAACCTTTAGTCAGGATATAACTACAGACATGGTAAAAAATAACCCCTAAAACTATATCAAGTCCAGTTAAAAATGCAGAGGAGTAGAAAGTGCAGATACATGTTCTCAAATGTAAAGAAAATAGTAAAACTGAGCTAGGCCCACCTGGTTGCCTTCATGGAGATGTTATTGCTTTATATGTTCCACAGTAGAGATTAAACATATCTGTCTCAAGGAAGGCTACTTTATAGGTCAGATCTGTGGAGAGGCACCCCCTCACAGAGAGATGTATAGTATTTTTGAGCAGTAGAAACACCCATAATGAATAAATACAAGATAAATGTGTTTAATGTCATACAAATCCAGGAAAATCAATAACATCTACATGAAGAAAAGCATTTGACGGACCCTCCACCAGAAATGTTACGCAATGCAATTTTAAGTACAGTACAGTACTTAACTACTTGTACTTTGTTACCTTCCCCCACTGTACAAAGCAAACTGTCATTACCACAAAGTGCAGGAGGACTTGACGATGAAATCAGACACTCTTCTAATGTTTGGAAATATTTAGGCCTTCATTAACAAGTGAGAGTCAGTTTATTCACACTGACAGACTGAGAGCTCCACTCTTATGTAAACAAATGTGGCGCTATAAGATACTACTCCACACTCCTGCTGTCGGTAATGTAATAAAGGAGCTAATACATTTTACTGTAAAGGCTGCTCTGTCTGCAGTAATCTAATAATAGAGAATATTTATACAGTGGTGGGAGATTTAAGACTCTTTTCCATTGCATAGGTTTGATTTATTAAGTTTTCATTGGTCGAGGTAAGGACAGGAGCACAGAGAACAAATGGATCCACATACTTGAAGACAGGATATTGTAAAAGCAAATGTTAAAAAGGTATGATAATGGTTCAAAGTAATCAGGATCATTTTAATTTTAGGGTTTCAGTCACACTATTTCATATAAAATGTATTCTGTCATAACATTTTAATATGCACTATTTAACTTTTCTGGTTTGGGCCCGCCACATTTCCATGGAGATAATGCTTATTTGCTTTGCCTTGAAAATTCCACAATCTGACATTAAAATGATCTAGCTTCACACAGACAAACAGGTCAGTTTCAGGTCAGATCTGTTGAGAGTAAACGTGCTCTGAAAATAATGCATGCTTTTTAAGGGGTATTTTGAGCAGTAGACCTAATCAGCACCTAAAAGAATAAATGCAAACTACATGTTCACTTCTAATATATCAACTTGATTTCGTTGCCTTGAGCTTTGTGAATCTCTAAGTCTGATCCTGAGTGGAAGTATTTTATTTTGAAACTGAGCCAGGAGATACAGCAGGTAAATGGACATCTTTCTAATTTCTAAAAAAAAAAAAAAAAAAAAAAAAAAAAAAGTGAATTTGTGGTCTGATAAAAAAGAACAAGACAGATCCAGACGGACACAGAATATGAAAGAGGTCTGGGACTTTGTAAAGAGACCAAACTAAATGGAAAAGTTTAAGAAGCGACCTTTCCTTTAAACTAATTAGTATCAGGCTCAAAGTCGTGTTTTTGAAGGTCCCCAGTTGTGTCCGATCCAGTTTTGGGAACGTTTGTAGCACAGATAAAAGATTTTGAAAAAGCTCCCGAATTCCACCTCGAGAGATTAAGAATAATCCTCTCCCCAAACAAAGGCTTTTTGAAAAATACCTTTGTTCTACAGACATGTGTTTGAGGTTTTGAGAGGCAGAGAAATCATCTCAAATGACAAATTAAAAATATTAAAAGTGGAAATATTTGTTGAAAGGTACAAACCCACATCTGTTCACAAGACAGTGGACAAATGGAGAGCACACTAGGCACATCTTTTGCCATGGTGGCCACATCACTAGGGTCATAGGTCAGGATGAGCCCAAAGTTTGTATATAATTAAAGTCGCTGTACCAGATTTTTTACCATCTTAATAACATAAAAAAACAGCTAGTTCAAATGGTTTGCAGTAGTCTAAATCACTGTTCACTTACTGCCTTCCGAGCATTCCAATTATTCACTGCAATGAGTTTATAAGCACTTCTCACATCTTTCCGAGTGCAGTTACGGTGTCACGGAAATAACAAGCATGGTAACTGCTTACTTCCTGATTCTCGGATAACTGAGATGCAGACAGTACACAGCAGACTTATCTGACCTCACGTGCTGCTGATACAATATCTGTACTCTGTGCAAGGCTGATTTTGCTCAAATACACAAAAAAAAATTGGGTTCAGGCTCCCTTAACTTGGCAACGAAGCAGCAAAAAAATCTTGAGAGAATACCCAGTGTTCTGGCTTCAGAAAGGTTTGCCAAATACGTCTGACTATAAGCTAAGAAATGCAATATCAAATGGTCATGTCTTTTCCCAAAATTATGAAAAAGGACAATGTTGGAAGTAACTATAGTAGCCTGTCACATCAAATCATGACAAATAAAATCCTCATTTGGGAGTTCTCTTGTTAATTCTCCGTTTAGTAGCTAACTTCTGTCAAACGCTGGACACAGACCCAGTTCTTGTGGTCAGCAGTGAGAGGAAAGATGACTCACTTTACAAATGGACTTGGAGTGGTTCTGGAGCGATTAGCGGAGTGTGGTGCTTTGCCAAAGGGCACGTTGGACAATGACTACAAAATGAGCAGGCACTGGCTTCTGTCAGTCACACAGCTCTGCCCGAGTCAGTGGTGACAGTAAAGCCACCATGAATATTGAATCATCATTTGGAGCAATTTCCGCTACAAGAATGAATATCTTTTGCATTGTAAAAGAAAAGTTTCAGTGCTTTACATAAGAAACTATATGGGAGTAAGTGATAATAAACAACTGCTTCAGCTTACTCCTTTTGGGTTATGTATGCTTCTATGTACGCATGTAATGTAAACAAAATGTTAAAAAAAACAACAAATAAATGAAACTAAACTAAATACAACTATGAGGATTTTTATGTTGTTACTGTTAAAGCAGAACTAAGTAACATATTTACCACAATAATCTTTGTAAAACTGATTTATGCTTAACAAGATCCACTAGGGACCTGATGTTCAGTGATGGTGTCTTGGGAAAACTTGTAACTACTGTACACAGTCTACGTGGATATGAGCAGGATTTCCTAGTAGTTACTTTCAAATTCAACTGTCTGCAACCAAATGGGCCACACAAACTATAAATACTGCCCACGTTTCCTCTGCTTGTCTCTGTGCATCTCATTTCTGTGCAGAATCTGCACGCGGAAAGTATAATCCAAG